AAAACTAAGAAGCAACTCACAGATTTTTGGTTCTTCTGTCAAAGCTAAATATCGTTCTCTTAAAGCTCTTACTTCTGAGTTGCAATGGTTAACATATCTTCTCTGTGATCTTGGTTTTTCCCACCACAACCAATTATAGTTCACTTTTGATAGTCAGGTTGCCATTCACATTGCCGAAAATCCAATTTTTCATGAACGGACCAAGCATATTGAGATTGATTGCCATTTTGTTCATGAAAAAATTAAACCAGGTCTTATTACTCCTTATCTTAGATCTCGTGATCAATTGGCAGATACTTTTACTAAATCACTCGAAGTTGACACTTATCAACGATTCCTTTGTAAGTTGGGTGTCATTGACATTTCAATCTCATCTCCAACTTAAGAGGGGAAATGTTGGACACAAATCAAAGAGCAGTGATTTTTCAGTAATGCAAATAGGACGCAAATCAAGAAGCAGTGATTTAATCTTGATAACAACAAATCCATTGTTATTATTAGGATATCAATAGTTTCAAATTATAGATAATATATCTGTAAATTACTTTTTTACTTTTTTTCTATTTTAATTTTAAACTTTTGTAAACTTATATATTTAAGTCTCAGCATATCAATGAATCATACACGTTCACAAATCATTTCTTTCCTTTATTCTTTCACGTCTTACACTTTGGCCTAATGAAAAATGAATTCCTTAATGTTAATGAAAGTATGATGCTAAATTAATAAAAAAAATATGATAAACTTAAATTTTATATTTTTTAAATAAGATAATTCTAGGTTTATTTTTATATATATAATTTAGAAATATATATAATAAAATGATATTTTAAAAAAATTATAAAAATACGATATTAAATTGTTAATGACAATTTTTAAGTATATATACCAATAGAATAACAGAAAAGTCATAAAATTTAAAAAATTATCAGTAGTGATTTTTTAAAAAATTATAAAAAATAAAAGTCATCAACGACAATTTTTTAACATGTAATAAAACTTTTAAAAATAAAATTTTTTTAATGAAGATTTTTAAAAAATAAAAAATTTAAGAGTATAAAAAAATTGTCTGACAATTTTTAAAAACTTTTCATAATTTTTTCAAAATATCATATTTTAATTATTATTTTATTTTATTTTCATATAAAACAAAAGAACCACAATTCTACTTTTAATTTTTTAATAATTTTGATTTTAAATTTAATTTTTTTAATAAACTAGTGATGTTTTATGCACCGCAAGTATTATATGGATAATTTAAACTTTAATAAATTTTATAAAATTAAAAATTAGTAATGCTATAATTGTAATAAAAAATTATATTATATTAAAAAATATAAAATTTAAATTTAAAATATAAAAATGTGAAATTAATATTAAAGTATAAAATGCTTATTATTAAAACATCTGTTTGACAGGGGTGTTTATGAATCGGTTTGATTTATTAAAAAAAAATAATATTCAAATTGTAGTTAAAAAAATATGTGATTTGTTTTAATTTATTTAAATATAATTTTAAAAATGAATTAATCTGAACAAAAAGAATCTATTATTTTTTATTAAATTATTTTTTAATTTTATTTATTATTATAAATATTTTAATTTATTTTTAAATTAAAAATAAGTAGTAGTTAAAATATTAAAATGAGTTAAAAATAAAAAAAAGAGAAAAATGATTAAAACATAAAATTATAAGAAAAATAAATTATTAATAAAGAGAAAAAATATATTTAGTTGAAAAAAATTAGAATATATAGTAAAAATAAGTAATTTATTATATATTTATATAAAGTTATGATTAAATTGAGTAAAAAATAAATTTTATCATAAATAAATAAATAATAATATAAATTTATTATAAATGTGGTCAATTCAGTTTTAAAAATGAAACTAAAAATTGAACCAAACTGTAATTATTTCAGTTTAATCATTTTTCAGATAACTAGTGTTCGATATTTTTTTATCAGATTACTGGTTGAAAAAAGTTTAATGCGGTAAAGTCCTGTCGTTTGAAACGACAAAAAGAGCCAACCCTTCAAAGTACTGTCATCTAAAAATTTCTTTACAACATTTTGTGGATTTATAAATACTACACAAAACTTGAAAATATTTTATTGTATTGAATAAAAAGATATATTTAAAATTTAAAAATAAACACTTAATATGGAAATATACTTATCATAATTTAAAAAATAACCAAATTAAAAAAATACCCTTATTTAAAAATTTGAAAAACATTTTTAATTTAAAATTTATACTCATAAATCTTATATAAAGACTGATAAATCGGAGTTACTCAGCTGTGTGTATTGTTGTGACATCAGTAACTTAAAGATTGACTAACTTTATGTTTATACACATTAAACTTGAAAAAGAATAAAACAAAACTTTACTACTCTCCGGACTCTGGTATACTAAACGCCCATCTTATTGATAGCAAGTTCAGATGAAAATTCGGAAGACAAAATTCCCATAAAATCAAGTGAGAATTAATTATATTATATTTTATTTTCTTAAAATTAAGTCTATGAAAAAAATTAAATATAAATTATTTAACTCAATATAAAAACCAAAAATATGATTTGTCACATTTTTTGAAAAACGATTTCAAAGGAAAATTTATTTTTAACTCAAAATACTTATATTAATTTTTAAAATAAAATTACGTTACAATATAATGAAGATGATTGTGTAACTATTAAAAAACATGTACATGGCTTTCTTTCATGAGCTCGTTCGTTTTTCAATTTAAAAGTTATGATTTTGCATTTTCATTGCAAAATATATATTTTAATAAGGAGGGGATTAAGTTACTCAGTAACTTCTATCAATATTAATATTTTATAAATGCTAATTTCATCAATATAATTAATAAATAATATGATATTAATATGTTAATCATTCATATTATATATTAAATAAATCAAGTAACTGTGACATGTAATTTTAAATTTAATATTTATTTATATTTTAAAAATATATTATAAGCAAAATATTTAAAATAAGATTTTTCCATAATTGATAAGCTCAAGGGAATACAACGCACGCACCCATTCTCTCTCTTCTCTTGGCCTTAGAACCTGGTACAACTATTACCAGGGTCCTGCCACCAAACATCCTCACTCTTCCCCCACTTGTTACCTCCTTTGTGGGAACGAAACAAAACCCCCACCTGTGTCCCATCACTCACGCGCTTCTCCACGCGCCGCCACTCATTTCTTCTTCGTGGGTCCTACCTTACGTCAGTCCGTTTCAGGGTACGGGAATGCGTGCATCCCTGACCTTGACCCTCGCAGAGTTTCAGTGCTTCCCATTGGCGTTTTCGCTCACGCGCTTGCTCATTTTTTAATAAAATTTTCTCTTTCAGATTTGGATTCCTCATTATTTGTTCAAGTAACGTTTCATGCTTGTTTTTATCTTTTCCTTTTTCTCATTTGTCCTCGCCTCATGCTTACTCCTGCAACCCCTGCACAGTACTACTGTACACAGCAGTGTAAGCTATTCCGGTTTCAAATTCACGCATTCACCTGCAATGAGTGATTAAACGAAAAGACTTCACATATTTTTCTATGCTGTTTTATTATTCTCTACATTGTTGTTACGCATGACTTTATAAAATCGCTATTTAAAATAAACATTTTAATATATCTTGTTATATTTCAAATATTAATAAATGATATTTTTTATTCATAACTATGATCTTTAGTATTTTTATATTTTAAATTTATGATTTAAAATAAGAATTGACTATATTTAATTTTATTATACTATATCTTTAATTAAGCATATATTAAAGAAAATGTTTTCAGTAATACGTGATTAAAATGTTTTCCTGTTATTCTAAAAATTGCATCTTGCATAAAATTTAGATTTTTTTAAGATAAAAAATTACAAGGTGTCTCTTAGCCTTTGAACTCAAAGTTAATATTTATTCGTATTTTGTGGTTACTATTAACTTGATATAATTTAGCACATGATATAAAGTTGTAAGTTTTTATTTTTTATTTTATTATATTAGATATAAAAAAAATATTTTTGTAAATTCTTTTAGTTTTAGATGTTTAAATTCAATTGTGATGTTTGGAGATAACAAAATATATATATATATATATATATATATATATATATAATCCTATGGTTTACTATTAGTTATAACAAGTTTTTATTTAATAAAAATTAACTCTCACTTAATTTAAATATATAGATAATATAATTTTTTTTACACTATTACTTCATTATAAATTATTTTATAATTAATAATTATTCATTTTGATAATTATATAAAAAATTAAACCTTTAATTATGTTCTTATCATTTGAAGTTATGAATGTATCAAATTCACTTGAAATAAGCTTTTTCACCGTAAATAGTAATGCCACCCGCACATATTCGACTAAAATATTATAATATATGTTCTTAAATTATGATTTAACATCTACAGTGGAACTTATACCCGCATAAATAATAATTTTAATCTTTATTCTCGTACCTTGTAGATACTTACATATTCATATCGAGATGCATTAGTCGCACTCAAGTTAAATAAAAATATTATTTTATATGTTCATTGTAAAATATAAAGAACAGAGTATTTATGTATATTCAAATTAAACATCAAATGTTAAGCGCAAAAAAAATAAAATAAACATCAAATGCAATAAAATAATTATTTATACAACAAATATTTAAAATAACTAAAATAATTTATATAACTTAAATTCAAATTAAGAAAAGTAAAAAATAACTACTTCATAAACTTGCATTTTTAATAATTATACTCTTTTTTACAAATATTTTTGAGGAGATAATTATTTTATTCATTATACATATATTTTTACTTGTACCAATTGAGCAGTTTATATCGGGTATAGCATTAATGTTACAGTAAAAAGAAAAAACAAAATTTACCGAGTAACTGGATTTAGCCGGTGGAAGACAAGAATTGAGATTTGAGTCTCGAGACAAAGAGGGATTAAGGAGAAACAGAGAAACGAAAGTGTATGAAACTGCTATGTGGGAACCTCAACGAAGAAGAGTGTGAGAGAGAGTTCCTACTTGCTCGTTTGTTTTCTCTCCAAGGCTCGCTTCTTATGCTCGATTGCCCAATACCCCTACGATCTCATCCTCCAACCCAAGATTCTCATCTTCAGAAAATGGAATTCGAGGACCAAGAGGAACCAGAGTTGGGGATTCACGGACCGAGTTACGATGACTCGCCGTTGAACGCGTGCCGGGTTAAAATGCCGAGTCACATAGAAGAAGAACCTCCGGTGCTCAGTCACCCCGCCATCAGAAACACCGGCAGGGGAAGGTACAAGGAGTGCCTCAAAAACCACGCGGTGGGAATTGGAGGCCACGCGCTCGACGGTTGCTGCGAGTTCATGGCGGCGGGAGCAGAGGGCACACTCGACGCGCTCAAGTGCGCCGCCTGCAACTGCCACCGCAACTTCCACCGCAAGGAGACTGATGCCGTGGCCGAAGATCACTTCGCGTCGCCGTTCCACCCCCGCCGCCACCAGCCGCCGCAGTTCGCGGCGTACTATCGGGCGCCGGCGGGGTACTTACACGTGGCGGGGCAGCAGAGAGTGGGTGCCACGCTGGCACTCCCGTCCACGTCAGGTGGTGGCGGTGGGACCCAAAGCCCCAGAGAGGACCAAGAAGATGCTTCGGACCCAAGTGGTGGCGGGTCCAAGAAGAGGTTCAGGACCAAGTTCACGCGCGAACAGAAGGACAAGATGCTCGAGTTCGCTGAGAAATTGGGTTGGAGGATTCAGAAGCACGACGAGAGCGTCGTTCAGGAGTTCTGCTCCCAAACTGGTGTCAAACGCCGCGTTCTTAAGGTTTGGATGCATAACAACAAACACACCCTTGGTAAGAAGCCCTAGAAAATTAAAATCCACATCTCTCTCCCTCTTTCTCTCTCTTCATCTTTCTCTCGCTATATATATATATATATATATATGTATGTATGTATGGATGCTTCTGCGTATTTAGTTACCCTCACAGCCACCATTCCAATTTCCAAGCTTAAAGTAATGTGTATTGGATAAGCGCGGGTTCTATGTTGAAGCTTGAAGGTGGGAAATTGCGTTGCTGAATGTCTTACGAGTGTGCTACTAGTTGATCAGGATCTTAGTCTTAGGGTTTCCTTTGTTTTTTTTTTTTTTGTTCATCTTACTTTCTTGTAATGTGGGAGAAGGGTGGGGGTATTTTGGGTATCCCATTTGGCTTTGTTATTAGTAATGTTTTAGCTTCGATTCTTATTCTAGCAGCATTGTTGTTGGTGGTGGACTAGTTTAAGTTTTCATTTCAGCGCCGGAATTTGGTTATCGGTGTTTTTGTTTGCGTGTGTTTCAGCCAGTGTTTGCGTTTTGCATAAGAGTTTGAGCGATGAGTTTTGTGCGGTGGATGGTGGGAAAGCGTTTTTGGAACGTTGTTGCGTTGATGATATCAGCCTTGAGAGATGAGGGATCGGTTTTGAGCTCAAGTGCATGAATGATGGTGACGAAGCGAAAAATGGATTAATTAGTTTTATTTTTGTTTGTCCATTGTGAATCGCATATACTCAATGTCCTAAGACAGTTGTTGGAAGCAGGAGCTTTCTCGGTACCATCAATGCCCTTCCAACCTGCATTTTCCGTTTTTCATGTCTTATTGCTACACGTCTACGCTTGTCTCTGGGTTTTTACTTTCTTCTGCTAACTGCAAAGTGCGTGAACCTTTTCAGCTCCTCCCATGCACTGAAAAAAGTGGGGGAGGAATTCTGAGTCCCAGTTGCTGCTACTTATGGCCCCTAACTCCTTCATGCATTTTCATTGGCTTTATATATATTATTATAATAAAGGCTCTTCTAATTAATATCTATATAATATGCTGGTTAACTCGCCAGGTTTCTGTTTCCCTTATATTGGGCGTTAATTATTTGATGTTGTACTATACTATAGTCTATTTACCCACCCAAGTGAAGAAATATAATTGATACACTTTTTTATGCTTAATTCGACACGGAGGCGGTTGAACCAAAGGCAGATGTATGATTTTGCATCAGCCATTGAGTTATTGTGAACTATATTGGGGTGGAAAAGTACTGTTCTGATGTTTTAATTTATTGCATGCGAGTTCTATGAAATTCAAGTCAGGTTTATATGTTTCCTTTGGTACTACTGGGGAAGAAAATTTAGCAGTGGACTCAAATCCTTAAGTGGGATATCGGAGAAATAATACAATTATCTCTCTCCTTATAATTTATCTGTGTTTTGCCCATTTCAAATTAATCCTTCTCGTTGTTTCAACCAACACTGCCTTTTGAGAAAACAAGAAAGCTTTATGCTGCCACTCCAGCAGGAAGATAAGATATGAGTATGCGTATAATATAATATATATTATATATAGATATAGATACACACACACGCACACACTAGAGGGCGTACTACTAATAGAGGGACAACTTTTTTCTGCAACTCTCCAACTACTACCCATGCGTGGGAGATTTAGATACATGGGGGAAAATCTATTAGGATACCGAGAATCTATGGTCCGTTCCATCTGGTGAAAGCATGTTTCAAGACTTGCTATAGTAAAACAATGTTAGATAAAAGCTAATTAATAAGAGGTAACTTATACCTCAGCTTTAATGTGCATGCTAAAGGGGAGACCTGGTTGATTATTTAGGGTAAGATAGAGAAACGTGCTTAATATATGGAACCTTTCCTAATTCCAGTCTCTAAAGGTTCTATGTTTCAAGTATAGCAGCAAGATATGCTTTTGTGAAGAGATTATTACTTGTTAAGGAGTCAAAAGTTTGCTCATCAACAAGTCACGTTCAACATGCTTTGCTTGTTTTGGGGGGTTAAACATCAAGTAAAGCTGCGTTCATCTGTGGTCCACTGTCCACTATGTAATGAAAACCTTGGTCATAGTTTAGGCTTATCAGACAGTAAGAAAAGACTTTATATATTGCCATATACCCTTCCTATACAGACATGTTTATGACTTTTGTCTATATGCTCCCTTTGGCAATTCTATCACTGCACAAGAACATGATCTCTCGCCTCTCACTCTTATCTCTCACAAAATCACCAAATGGGCCAAACCCTCCTAAGCTTGCATTTGACCTCTCTAGAATTTTTTTTTCCTATACTCTGGAATGAACTTCGGGTTTGAATCAACCTAATAAACCAAAATCGTGTGTTGTCCATTATATTACACATCAATAATTGTTTTATATAAAATTATGTATTAACTAGTATTGTTATATCGGGGGAATCATGTTACCTTGTGATGCTGTTGCCGTCCTAGTGTATAGCACCTTTTAAGAAAATAAACCTGACAAAAATATTTTATGTGTAGGCATTATATTTTCTGTTCAATATGGATATATTTAGTTAATTTTTACATAGTATAACGATATGGCCACAAATAAAATTCATTTTATGTTTTTAATACCATTTCGTACATAGATTCATGTAAATACCATGACACACGGAAATTGGAAATAATCGGAGGGAAATCCTATACTGGGATGAAGAAATTTGGATCAAGGATAAAAAAGTTAGACTCTTGATCTCCTCATGCTAGTTGGAAATTAGTGAAGTTTACTACATTTCATTTGAGTAAATAACATCTAGTTGGCATTACTGGTCAATTTGGTTCTAACCATTATAGAAAGGTAAATTTAATCATTAATTTTGGTAACTATTGTTCAATTTAATCATTGACATTATAAAACAAGTAATTTAATCTTTTACTGTAGTCAGTCCTAAACTTGAAATACATTAAATTTAATATCTAAGATACATGAAAGATTGGCACTGCTTGTTTGAGTTAAAATGTGGACAAATAAAGATTATTTTTATACAAGACAAGTTTAGGAATATTTTATCCTTTCTAAGCTATTTTCTTTAGTAGTTGCCTATATAATCGAGTTAGTAAAAACCTATCTAATCCTTAACTACTATTTCAAAGATCATGTTCCTTGGATATCAATTTTAAATTATTGAGTTAATAATATATAGTCTGTTTTAACCTATTAATCTTTTAATAATCTCCTTTATATTGAAACCTTCAATAAGTCATTAAGTTTTTTTTATAAATAAGCTATTAAACTATTTAAATAAGTATGTCTCATAATGTTTATATCTAAATAACCTATAAAAAAAGATAGTTCAACATATTGAATATGGGTAATAAAATTACATATTCCTATTTATAACTTTCAAATCACATATTTTATACCACACATACAATAAATACAATAAAATGAATATTAATCCATAAATTGATAAGTAAATTTAGTAGCATAAAGTTTCACACCTTAAATCAACAAACACAATACAACTAAATAAGTTTTATACATAAAATTAACAAAGGCAACAAATAATATAACAGAAATAGATGAAATTATTTTATTACTCTCAATTGAAAAAGATATTTTGTTAACATAAAAATAGAGAAAAAAAAGTGAGAAAGAGCTATATATAATATAAACAAATATGCAACAAGATGATGGATGAGACAAACTAGTAATAGATGTTATCGAGACAATGCATATGCAAATTATCATTATGCAAACAAGATAGCTCAAACAACAACATATAAGACTTTAACAAACAAAACTTTTTTTCTTAAAAGGTATGTATTACATATACTTTTCAACAAAAAGAGATTAATGTTTCTAATTCAAGGATTTATTCATTTTAAAATTTAATTTATTTAATTAATATTATATTATAATTTTTATATAAATTATTTAATATATTATTATAAATTTTATGAGTTTTAAATATGTCATTTTAATAGGATTTTTTTTCGAGTTCAAGCATAATTTATTCAATTAATTAAACATTTTAAAAAACTTAAATAGGTTAGGCTAAATTATATTTTAAAAAAGTTAGGTCATAAGCTTTTATTATGACATATTTTCATCCTTAATTGTGATTATCATGCTTGTTTGAAATATAAAAATATTTTTTGAGATAAGTTTTTCAAAATATAATAAATATTTTTTATTATGACTATTTTAATATAAAAATTTAATTTTTAAGCTAAAATATTAGTTTAATTAATATTAAAAAACTTCTATATCATCTATTTATTTATTTTTATTCTCTTTTTCACTCATCCCAACAACTAAAATAAATTTCTTTTATATCTTTTTGTCTTATTTCAATCCATCAGTACATCATTTCTACTCTATTTCACTTTCATTTACATCCTTCCTGTTACTTTTTTATTCTTTCTTTCCTTCCTGTTTCATTCTCCATCCGAATAAAACAGTACTTTTATTTTTGTCAAAAAGAGCATAAATTAATTTATGGTTGTTAAATTTTGTTATTAAAATGATTGATTTGATACATAATGTTGAGTCAATTTGATTAGTGATATTAATTTTCGTGACCTAATTGATTAACAATTCTTTAAGTGTGTAGGTGGCACCTAATTGAGTATTTTAAATCATTTTTCAAAACAAGATCTAACGGTTTAAGGTTCATTGAAACTAATATTTATTTTAGCAAAAGAGAGTTAAGAAAATCATACAAACAGACCCTAAGTCAAGAGTGATTTTCCTTTTCCTTTTCATAGTTTTAAGGATCAAATTAATCAATAGTTTCAATTTTAGGTACTAGATTAACGGATAATTAATGCTAATTTTAAGATTAAATTGATTAATGATGGTCAAATTAAGAACTAAGTTTATTTTAACCCAATCTAATTGAACTTGTTGATAAATTCTTGTTAGAGAAAATATAATAAAAAATAAATTAAATTTCTTCCATAAATTAAAATTAACTTACACTTCTTTATTTTTTAGAAATTACTTTCACTTAACTTCTTTACAACTTGAATAGATAAATTATTTTTCAATTATAAGATAAATTTTATTTATTTTTTATATATTTTTTTTATAAAGATTTATTCACAAGCTTATCTAAATTGGAGTTTTTCAGTAATGTTAAAAACCAAATTAATTAGTAATCTCGTTACTGAACTCTCGCATATGTAATTTAAACAAACTTAGAACAAATATGTATTGTAAAATATTATAACAGTAATGTTATTTTTATAAGTTTCTAGAATCGTACAAGGCATGTGCTTTACAATTTGTCTCTTTTTGTTTTGTTGTATGATTTGATATGACGAGTAAATGACATCATAAAAACAAAATACTGTACTTCATTTATGTTACTAATGTAAAGCTATCTTTTACTATTATTCATGGAGCGTATACACTTAAACCAAGTCTGGATTAGCTTCAGATTTGTACGAAATTTTAAATCTTAAAACTTTAGTGTTTAAGATTTTAATTTCAAAGGTAAGAATTAATATTAGGTTTTGTTATGTTTATAAGCTCTAATAGAGAAGTTAATTAAACAAGGAAGCTCTTAAAACAATTAAGAATTAAGTTTATGTATTAAATTTAATTTACTTTATTAATTATTATTATTTATTAAAAATTTTATTCAAACTAAATGTTTTATTGACCTCCATTTATGACAGGGTAGGAGACATTGCATAACTACACTTCATTAGATAAGACAGTTCATAGAAAACAAAGCTTATCTTGTTATTTCCTGGAACCAAAAGAAAGAAGAAAATGATCTATGCATAACCAAGATGCTTGATTAATTCCTTTAAACTAGATTTTGGCCGTTATTAAGTAATAGGAATATGTTATTTTAACAACTAATTACTTTCACAACATTTGTTTTTAAATTTTCTCTATTACATCAATTATTGTATTTCAAACTTTTTTTTTTCTCCTTATTATGAAATGCATTATAAAAATAGCATTCTCATTATGTAACAGGTAAATTGAAAGAAAAATAAAACTCCACTGTAACTATAATTAAAGTTGGGTCAAAACTTATATCGGCTTAAGCAGGAAGAGAAAAGAAAAACGGAAATGTTGTATTAACAATAATTTTCAACCAACGTATGGGGGTGTTCCTAATTTTTTATATTTGATGTGTATGTTAAAGAATATTAACATACTGTATAAGTTTTCAAAATAATAGTTCAAATAAATTGCAAGCAAAAAAGGTTTGCTTCTAACTCCCAAGGGCATAACTTATTTTCCAAGTAAATGGAAGCTTTATTTATTAAAGGAAAATGGGGAAGAAAAAGGCATAAAGTTACAAAAACTGCAGAAACTGCTATTATTCTCCATGAGGAGTCAACTCAGAGGTGCAGTTGTGTAAGATTAGGAGGGACCTGACGCAGATTCGTTTGTATTTGAGTCATTTTCGAAAGCAAAGAATTGAAGATTAGAAAGGAAAAAGAGAAAGTTTCCAAGGAAGTAGGCTTTGTCACCTTACCTTGTGTCTCTTTTGGAGAATGCCTGCTGCGCTGGCTGCCTGGAGAGTGCTGACCTTCAAATTTTCCCGTCCCTACTGTTTCCCAATATCCATACATTGAAATTGAGCTTTCACAACCATTCAAAACAGCAATGTTTTTGGATGTCAATGCCCCACTTAGCAAAAAAGATACCCCAATATGTGTTTTATTCCTCTCTCTCTCTCTCTCTCTCACTCACTCACTCACTCACTCACTCCCCTTTTCAGAATGGTTGGTGTTAATTAGAACCCCATGCCAGCATTATCATGGCTAGAAAATGTCTCCAATTATCTTCAGTTCACCCATTTTGTAAGACAGGTTGAAGATTCATAATTTATACGTAGTACAGAAAAGAATTCATCATAACCAACCATTATTCCAATCAGTTATCAATCTGACAAAGCAAAACATTTTGTTTGCTCAATAAAAACACGATATGTAAACTAAGTCAGCTTGTTTTTCGTGAACAAAATATTTCAACTGAGATAGTACATGTCCACAGTCCGTTAGCATGATTAAAATCACCTATAGGTGACGCCAATTAATTTTTGCCTTTTTAAAGAGAGACTTGTCAAGGTTTGATGTTGCATTCTCATCATTATACTTTGCAAAATTAATACCTTATCCGTAAAAATTGTAAATATAAATATGGAAATGTTGGTAAATATCTCTTATAATGCACGAGTTCTTCCGCATATAAGTAAAATATTAAAAATGTATATTAATAAAAAAATATTTGATAGAATATTGATTCAATTGAAAAAATATTTTGTTCAGTATATATATATATATATATATATATATATATATATATATATATATGTAATAATTTAAAAATATCTTGTCATGTGTATTAAAGATTATAATAATTTAAATAATAAATTTTTTTTTTAATTTTAGGGTATGATTCATTTTAATTCTCTAACTTTTTTTTATTCATTTTTTTTTAAGTTTTGATTTTTTCTATGTTAGTTCTTTTTGTTAGCTTTATTATATAACTTAACAGATACATCTTATTTGGCACCGAAGCCTTAACATCGTTTATTTATTTTAATCTGGACCCTCGAATTGGAAGCCATTGTTACATGTGGAGATACTAGTTACTTGAAAAACACTTAATGGACGAAAACTTTCACTGTGTTTTAGAGAGAATTTAAGAGATTGAAAGTGGACAATTTGTTCGTAAAGCAAAAATTTTTGTGCAACAGGGAGTTCTCTCTGGCAAAGGTTTGGAAATTTGAAGTGCAAGTAAACATCAAGGTTATAAGATATGTTTTTAGTTTTGAAATAAATCATCTCCATGTGTTGGGTATAGGAGTGACAATATTGTTGAATATTTGAAAGATTTTACATTTTGAAGTTTAGGTTTTTTTGTTATTGACATTTTTAGGTCATAGGAAATGGATAATTTCTACGTAGAAGTTTATTATAGTTGCAAGGTTGAAAAGTCAACAAAGACTAAGTATGTTGGAGGTAAGACAAGTATATCAGACTATATGAAGAAGATTTCTGGAGTTATTGAGTGTCTAGATAAAGTATGTGAATTGGGATATGATATGATTGATAGTAGGTGGTACAAAATAGAAGAAAAAGGTCTTGATGTTGGATTGAAAGAACTAAAAGATGATAAAGGAGCTATGGAGATGGCCAGAATGTCCAAGTATTATGGAAAAGTGGAGTTGTATGTAGTACATGCAATTTCACATGCTAAGATATGTAATGATGTTTCATTACTTGAATATCTCATAAATGTTGATGGGGGTGCAAGTTGACGAAATAGGTGTTTAAGGAGAAGTAGCACAAGAATATATTGAAGTGAATGATAAGGTTGAGGTTGAAGTGGAACAGGGAGATAAAGACCAACCAAAGCATGTTAATGACAATCAGACAAAAAAAATCTTCTGTAAAAAGGGGGAGGGGGGGAAGAGTCAGAAAAAAAGAAAAAAATAGAGAAAAAAACATCAAAACATGGAACAAGTAAGAAAGAAAAAGAGAAACAACTCATATTGATTACATATGGGAATACACCTTTTCATGCCATTCTTTCTTTTCTCACTTGATCTGTGACACACCCTTGGTGGAACTTAGAGATTCAAGCGATCATATTTGAAGAATGTGATTTCATCTCTGATTTAATTTCTACGAACCTTTTATTCCCTTTTTGAATGTGTTGCTCCAACCTAGCTTCAATGTTTGATATCCTCCTATCAAAATAGTGCACATATTGTATCGTTTGCTCTTGAAAGTTGGATTGAGATCTGAAGGTCTCTTTTCCCTTTGGTTTGACTCCTTGATTTTGCATATGGAGAGGGCAATAAACATTTGAATTTTGACTTCCAAAGCTATTTCCCCAAGAATTAGAAGAATTACCTCACCATCCTGAATTATAATTATTGCCTTAATTTAGTGACTGGGCAGTTATTGTTGTCATGACCTAAGGAGCTGTAGTGCTAACATAAAGAAGTTGCATGTGGTTTTGTTTATTGTCCCTATATTTTTATTAAGGATTCTACCTATTTGGTCAAAGCTTCTAACTGAGTTGTTAGAGGATTGTTGCCCTTTACTAGGTATATCGAAGCTTTCTTCCCCTTCGTACTCATGTAATGGTCAGTTGTGTGCCACTAAAAACTGACAGATGTCATCTCATCCACCAATTTATACGCCTCATCTGGGTCTTTTCTCATGAGGGCTCCTCTAGCTGTTGCATCAACTGTGGCTCTATTGGAGACTAATAATTCACTATAGAAAATTTGCATATGTCTCCACATAGGAAAATCATACTGAGGACACCTTTTCAAAAGTTCTCCAAATTGTTCCCATGCTTCAAATATGAATTCTAACTCATGTTACTAGAAGTTAGATATCTCTGCCATCAGATTAGTAGAACGAGATAGGAGAAAATATTTTTCCAAAAATTGCTGAGTCAAATCCTTCTATGTTGTGATAAAACTTGTTGGGAGCATGGAGAACTATGCATTCACCTTTTCTATGATAGAGAATGGAAAAAGGCAAAGCCTAATAGCATCAGTGGTTACCCCGTTGTACTTGATGATATCTGTAAGCTGAAGGAATTTTGTCAGATGGAGATTGGGGTCTTCATGAGACATTCCTCCAAATTGTGTAAAATTCTGAACCAAAATTATCAATGCCAGCTTTAATTCAAAATTGTTGGTCTCGATAATAGGGGTTGTGATGCTTCCAAAGGCACATCTAGTAGTGGGTATAATGTAATCTTGAATTAATCAGCCCCCTCTACCATTCTTTGTTCTCTCAGCTCTTTCTTTTGCCTACGCACAGTTCTTTTGATATCCGGATCAAATAAGCAAGTTGTAGGAGACTTAGAACGTGTGAACATACACTAAAAAAGTATAAAATAAAGAAGATTAAAACAAAAATAAAAAATGAAATAGAAAAAACAAAATTAAAATAAAGCAAAACACAAATTGCTCAAATCAATTAAAAATGAAATTCTTAATATTGAAAAAATAACTTTTGGCAATGGCACCAAAAACTTGTTTGTAGGCAAGTGTACACGTTGAAAAGTAATAAATGGTTCTAAAATAAGTTCTTGAATTATTGTCCCATAAGAGTTGTTCCTAGTACCAAAAATTCTTAATTTAATTATTTGAACTTAAAGGATGCGAAAATAAAAACAAGGATTAAAATTAAATAAATTATCAATGAAATTCAGAGCAAGTAACCTAACACACTTCTTGGTTGAACTTATAGAAGAGAAACCTAAGGCATATGAGTTTACTTATTTATACAAATACTATCAATACCCAATGGTCATATAATATTAATATTCTTTTCTCAAAATTAATATCCACAACGGTCATGCAACATATCAGTTTAAGAAAGCATAAATCACTTATGAACTTGTTAGTTTAATAACAATTAGAAGATAAAAATTAGTTTTGTCCACCTAATCCTTTGTCTCGTTTTATCTTAGAGATCCATTAACTAATCAAGGTAGGTTGCCTAATGATATAATTAATTATGATTATGTTATGAGTGATCAATTCGCAACATATGATTATGCGTAATAGGATAAACACTAATTACAGACGGAAATCAAACTTAGATTCAAACATCAAAATTCCAAAAGTTCATGAACAAGAATTATCATAGCCATATCTATAGACTTAGTTACTCATGCTAAAGAAAAGAACTAAAATAATCATAAACAAAGTCATAGTCAAAAGAAAATAGCAAACTAAAATCTCCCTAATGGTTGGGGATGAGATGAGTTCCTAGTCTTCATGTACGATTGCTCAAAGCTCTAAGTTTCGCCAAGAATGTGATGAAAGAGATGACTTAGAGGTGTGGAAGGAATGAGGTGGAAACAAAGTCAAAACAACGTGTGATTAGGATGATTAACTACTGCCCCAAGATTCCTTTTAATAAGGTTTGAAAACCTTAAAATTGCTTCATACCTGGGCTTGCCGTAAGTGAGCACGACCATGCATGTATCGAAGCACCCTGGTGCTTGCTGTTAGAGTCTGGGCATGCTGATTGTTGTGAAGCTCTGTTTCTTACCGCACCTAGCCACGCTCACTATGGCACTATGATCACAGATTCACATCATGAATGGTCGCTGGTTACCCCTGCCTCACGGATACCACGTAGGTAGTCAAGGGTCGCTTAGCAAAGGTACTAGTCAGAGGTCTAGTCAAGAGGAAAGTGTGTGGCATGTGGTGCACCCACGCTCACTGTTGGTGTCACCACCACTTTCTCTTCCCCAAGGTATTACTACCGTCCTTATCTTCCACACCTCTAGTGTATCGCTGACCCATTCACAGCATCATTATAATGACATTTTCACGCCCCATTCACACACGTTCCAATTTCACACAATATCCATATTTATTAACATTACACGGCACACAGACCCATAGTCATTCGCACACACGGCACAAGTGCCTACATTCATTTGCAGTATACAGCCCAATGACCCACATTCATTTACCACACACGACACATATGTCCATTTCATACACACAACATTTCAACGTGCCATCTATACTCATTTCCATCCATTTACATCATTCAAGGACACGCAAACACGCCTATTAACCTATATTGGACTTAACCATTCCACTCATCATATTCAACATCAATTCTTCATAAAAATCCACTTAAATCACTTTCAAATCATCATAATCATACCCATTACACATTATCCATCTCAATCACATTATAAAACATAGTAATTAAACAGGTTTCAAGCAAAATGAGATAGGGTAAAGCCTCTCCTTACCTCAAATGAGGACCCACACACAAAATCGGCAATGAGAAGGCTCTCTACATGAACTTAGTCCTAAATACACGGAAACTTCTCGTGAGAACCAAGCAAAACTGAGAAATAAGATACTAGGGATGAAAAATTGAAACCATAACCATTAAAACTTACCTCCAAGCATTCCTCACACAATTTCAACCTTCAATCTTGCTCCTAAACGACTTAGAGGTAATTTAATCAGTGAAATAAGGTTTGAGAGTGAGAAAATTGAAGAGATTTTGAAGGAAAAGTGAGAAATAACCCTAAACCCTAACCCCTTTAAATCCTCTTCTGGTCACGATACTCTCGCTACAGTGAGAGGACCTCGCCATAGTGACACCCTCTCTTGCTACAGCAAAAAATTCAGACAAAACTGCACTCTGGTTTCTGCAGAATCTCACTATAGCAAGATTGCACCAAAAAATGCACCACAAACTATGGCTTTGTCGCTACTACGAGGGAACTCTCGCTATAGCGAGAACGACACATTTTCATGCCACACGCTTAGGACCCTCTCGCTACAGCGAGGATCCTTTCATTATAGTGAGAATGCTCTGTAGCAACATCTATACTTAGCCTTTATACACATACACACATATATATACATATATATATTCAATCTATTTTAGTCCAGTCACAATCCACATCATTACACACATGTACAGATCATTCTCATGTCAATCAACACACCTCATAGGGCAACCTACACACACACACACACACACATATACACTTTAATATTTAAACAATATTACAAAATTTGGGGCGTTACAACAGACAACACTTTCAAGCAATTCATTTCAATTTACAACCGATGCACTCAAGCACCAAAGTATTTTACACACACGTGCGCTCACTGCACGTAGTCACGCTCACTGTGGCACTGTGATCACAGATTCACACCATAGATGATCGCTAGTTAGGAGGGGAGTGTGTGGCCTGTGGTGCACCCACGTTCAATGTTGGTGTCACCACTACTCTCTCTTCTCGAAGATATTTCTATCGTCCCCATCTGCCACACCTCCAGTGTATCGTTAAACCATTCATAGCATATTCACAACTACATTTAACATGCCTTATTCACACACATTTTAATTGCACACAATACTCAAGTTTGCACATGACACTCAGGCCCACACTCATTCATATTACATAGCACTCAGGCCCACATCCACATTTAAACATTGAATCCTCATTAATCAATTATATGTTACAACATATAATCACCCTCAATGGGTTCAACCATCTCGGCACACATTACATTGCATTCAAACACAGAAATTTCCATCAACACGCATTTCCTAGCTTCTAGCTCAGCCACATTGCGATATTTAGCAAAATAAATGGAAATCAAAATACAATGAGATAGGGTAGAGTCCCCTTTTACCTCGGATTGAAGACCCACACACGAATTTAGCTCTAGGAAGTGTTTTTCGCATGAATTTCGTCCTAAATACACGAAAGAATCCCATGAGAACCAAGGGAAACCAAGAGAATAGAGAATGAGGATGAGAAACTAAAACTCTAACCATTAAAACTCACCTCCAAGCATTCCTCACACGAATCCAACCTTCAATCTAGCTTATGAACAACTTTGGAGGCAATTTAATCGATGAAATAGGGCTTGGGATTGAGAGAATTGAAGAAATTTTGAAAGGAGATATGAGAAATGAAATTTTCCAAACCGTAAACCCCTTTAAATCCCTTTCTAGTCATGAAACTCTCGTTACAATGAGATATTCTCGATGTAGAGACACCCTTTCTCGCTACAGTAAAAATCTCAAAGAAAACTACACTTTGGTTTCTGCTGAATCTCGCTACAGTGATATTGCACCCCAAATTGTCACTCTCTCGCTATAGCGAGAAGGCGACGATTTCACACCTTCCTCCCAGGGTCCTCTTGCTATAGTGAGAACACCCTACACCAGACAATCAGTCAAATTTTCAGTCCAAACTTAATCATTTACAACAATTCCTGTTTCATCATGACCAATACACATGCTCATACAAGCCTACATCGTCACACACACACACACATACACACACACACACACACACACACACATATATATATATATATATATATATATATATATATATCAAATACACAAAACATGAAAATTCACATACACACTTATATTAATAATCAACAATATTATAAAATTTGGGGCATTACATTGCCACGTGTTGAAATGTGGCAGGAAGAAATGTGGCAAAGAAGGGAGAAAGGTGGCATGTGCGAAGACAAGTATCAAAGAAGGAAGAAATGTGGCAACTAAGTGTTGAAGAAGGAAGAAGGTTGGCAAAACCAAAATTCATTCTGTCTCTTTCCCATAAAGCTCTCTCTTACTCTCTCTTCTGATTTCTATCTTTCTCACGGTTTCTCTCTTATTTCCCACCACTCACCTTTGCTCTTTGAACATCCAAGCAAGGTAAAAACACTCTTTCATCCACTGTGTGAGACCTCTGAACTCATTTTTCTGCATCTAATAACTGAATATTTGAATTGAGCAGTGGAAAAGCTTTCAAACACAAGTGGTTTCACTCAAAATGGATATCAGATTCATAAGTTGTGGTGAAAATAATGAGATCTCTTCC